AAAAAATGTCATTCCAATTTTAAAATTTTCTGTCTTACTTGAAAATTTTCCTTTCAAGAATGGGGTATCCCTTCTTATTTGAACTGCATGCTAGAGATGGAATGAAAGTCTGGATGAGTTCATGAAATATTTTAATTGGACTGCCATTCTAAGTAAGGATTTTCCGTCATAAATAGGTTAATCCAATCTAAATTAGACGATATTTGTTGTCGTAGAATGAAAGTCTAATTAAAACATTTCATAAACTCGTCCAGACTTTCATTTCATCTTGAACGAATAGATGTAGTTGGAAGGGAAAACTCATATTTAGACGGGAACTTATCAAATTAAATTGGAAATTTTGAAAGTGGACAAATATTGGAATGATAATTTATAAATATGAAGGATTTTTTTTTTAAGGAATGATTTTTCAACTTTCATTTCTCATGGGAATTTTTCTGTTGAAGAACTACCAACTCTGCAGGGTTGGAAACGTTCATCGCTCGAATTGTTTTTATTTTTTTTGTCTTCCGAACCTGCCGCTTCGGTAAAAGTTTTTCAGATTCGGACGTTGAATCTGAAAAACTTTTAGCGAAGCGGCCAGTTCGGAAGACGAAAAAAAAATAAAAAATTTGAGCGATGAACGTTTTCCAATCCTGCAGAGTTGGTAGTTCTTGGTTCGGGAACCACCTCTACCTGCGGGTGCATTGGTGCCAGAATAGAATCTATACCGAGCGACTATTGGTAGAAAGAGCCCACGCCAAAACCTTTTCGGTTTTGGCCGCCCAAAGTTCGGCCGTTTGGTACTACCGGCCCAAACAACGTTCCCCTTGGTGAAAGGCGCCTTCGCATCGTGGCCACATCTCCTTGAGTTCTTGGGCCTGTTTTCACCGGTTCAACGATTTGGCACTGTTTCTGCGCTAGATTCATGAACCGATAGGGCCCTTCTTTTTCAAAATCGCGTACGTGGGCCTCATTCGGTACTTCAGCGTTACCACCCCCGGCCTCTTTTACATGAAAATGAATCTGTCGCTGTTTATACGCCAGATTCATGATCCGGTAGGGCCCTTGGAGCGACGCGTGGGCCTGTAGTACCCCACATGCAAGTCATTGGGCCGGTAGTACCAAACGGCTAAACTTTGGGCGGCCAAAACCGAAAAGGTTTTGGCGTGGGCGCCTTCTACAGATTATCACCTCTCTCTCTCTCTCTCTTTCTCTGTATATGTATATATATATATATACATATGTATATATCCCTCGTTTGTTGTCCTCTTCTCTCTCTCTGCCTACTGTTTACCGGGCAGTTCTGTTTGTGACGATATATACATACATATATATATATATATATATATATATATAGATGCACACTTCTGCATGCCGACACAGACCCTATGCTGCAAAGGCAATACGAGATATGAGGCGACATCACGCAGCCCCCAACCCCCCGCCCCCCTCACCCGACACACGCACGCACGTGCACACACACACACACACACACACACACACACACACACACACACACACACACACACACACACATGTGCACGCAGTCAGTCACATACGTATCGACTAACACAGCGCACTCAAGAAAATGAATGAAGAAAAGAGCAGAGAGATTGAGGCACACTGAAGCAGTCCTCTCCGAGTGCGCGTGTGTTGTCATGTTCGCTACACACAGCTCCACAAAGAAAGCATGACTGTGGCAGACTGTCTCATCGGACTTTCACAGACTCGTCAAAAGGTCAGGCCCGACAGTCTGTCCACGATGCATTTCGCTCTGGATAGGGACTCACCACGTTGACCAGAGTTAGCGCTACCCTGACAAGAACACAAGTATCTCTCCGGCTTGATTCACACCAACCCTTCAATCCTAACACAGAACCAATCCCGTCCAAACCCCTACATTGCCTACAAGAATAGCAGCAAGCCTGACCCCTGACAACAGAACAGAACCAATCCCGTCCAAGTCATAAAACCTTCTCCACGCACCCACTCCGCACTGTCGCACAGCCCGTGTGTGTGTGTGTATGCGACTGGAGAGAGAGAGAGAGAGAGAGAGAGAGAGAGAGAGAGAGAGAGAGAGAGAGAGAGAGAGAGAGAGAGAGAGAGTCCTACCAGACTGCTGGTCCAAACCACTACAAGAATAGCAGCAAGCCTGACTCCTGAGAACAGAACCAATCCCGTCCAAGCCATAAAACCTTCTCTACGCACCCACTCTGCACTGTCGCACAGCCCGTGTG